AAAAAAAGAAAAAAAAAAAAAAGAAAAAAAAAGGAGACAAACATGAGAAGGAAAAGGAAGAAAAGCTGTCTCCAAATGCAAAAACAAAACAAAAACAAAAACAAAAAAAAAGAAAAAAAAAGAAAAAAAAAAGAAACAAAAGAAACAAAAGAAAAAGAAAAAAAAACAGAAACAAAAAAAAAACAAAAATGAAAATGAAAAAATAAAATAAAAAAAAATAAAAAAAAAGTAAAAAAAAAAGACAAACCTGAGAAGGAAAAGGAAGAAAAGCTGTCTCCAAATGCAAAAACAAAAACAAAAACAAAAACAAAAACAAAGAAAAAGAAAGAAAAAAAAAGAAAAAAAAGAAAAACAAGAAAAAGAAAAAAAAGCAGAAACAAACACAAAAACAAAAACAAAAAAAAAAAAATAAAAAAATAAAAAAAATAAAAAATAAAAAAAAAGGAGACAAACCTGAGAAGGAAAAGGAAGAAAAGCTGTCTCCAAATGAAGGTCCTTAAAGGAGACTCCCCGCAACAAAGAAGAACGAATACCCACAAAGTACAATACTTTCTCCGTCTGATAAACAAATATAAATAAATAAATAAATAAATAAATAACTAAATAAATACAAATAAATAAATAAATATAAATTAATTAAATTAATTATATAAATGAAAATAGCGTGAATACGCAAAAAAAAAAAATAAAAAATTGAGAGAGAATGACATATACCAAGTACAATACTTTCTCCGTCTGATAAACAAATATAAATAAATAAATAAATAAATAAATATATAATTTATATTTATTTATTTATTTATTTATTTATTTATTTATTTATTTATTTATTTATTTATTTAAATGAAAATAGAAGGAATACACAAAAAAAAAATTGAGAGAGAATGATATATACAAAGTACAATACTTTCTCCGTCTGATAAACAAATATAAATAAATAAAAAAATAAATATAAATAAATAAATAAAAATAAATAAATAAATATAAATAAATTAATTAATTAATTAAATTAATTATATAAATAAACGTAGAGGGGATACGCAAAAAAAAAATAAAAAATTGAGGGGTGATGATATATATAAAGTATAATACTTTCTCTGTCCCATCAACAAACATAAATAAATAAATAAAATAAAATAAATATAAATAAATATAAATAAATTAAATAAAAACAAAAAAAATAAATAAATAAATGAATTAAATAAATAAATAAAATAAATAAGAATAGAGGGAACAAGCAAAAAAAAAAAAATATATAAAGTACAACACTTTCTCCTTCTCATCAGCAAATATAAACAAAGAAATAAATAAAATAAAATTAAAAAAATATAAACAAAGGCAAGCAGCTAGCTGCTGCTGCTGCTGCTGCTGCTGCTGCCTACAATTCCTTTCTTAGAAGCAGCAGCTAGCCACTGCAGCAGAGGAACAGAAGAAAAAAAAAAGAAAAAAAAAAAAAAATAAAAAATAAAAAAAAAAAGAAAAAAAGGAGACAAAGAAGAAAAAGGAGACAAAGAACGCCAGGAGACAGAAGAAAAAGAAACACAACACAAACCACCAGCTAGCTGCTGCTGCTGCTGCTGCTGCTGCTGCTGCTGCTGCTGCTGCTTACAATTCCTTTCTTAGAAGCAACAGCTAGCCACTGCAGCAGAGGATCAGAAGAAAAACAAAAGTGAGAGAAAGCTTCGGCCTTTACGCCGCTGCTGCCGTAGCGGGCCCCCACGGGGAGCTCCATATACACCCGAAGAGAGAAAGGGTCCAGCTGGTCCTCTCCTGCTGCTCTGCCTGCTGCTGCTGCTGCTGCTGCTGCTGCTGCTGCTGCTGAGGAGGAGGAGGAGGAGGATGCAGCGCTAGAGCGAGAACAAACAAACCCACCCGGGCCTTTGCCTGCAGCAGCAACCACAGCAGCAACTGCAGCAGCAACTGCAGCAGCAACTTACAGCTAGCTTCACAGCTAGCTATACACCTCAGGGTGCAGCTAGCCAGCTAGCCATGCAGACAGACACAAATAGAAAGTCCTAAACACCGCATATATGAACAGCTAGCTAGCAAACACCCATGAGCCAGCTAGCTAGCCCACTACAGCTAGCTAGCTCGCTAGCTAGCTAGCTGGCTAGCTAGCAGGATACGCAGCGGGCCAAAATGCTGCACGAGCAGCTAGCTACCGAGAAAGACACATATACAACCTGGGAGCCAACTAGCCAGCTAGCTAGCTAGCTAGCTAGCTAGCTAGCTAGCTAGCCAGCTAACCATGCAGACAAATTATCTCCGTTACTAGTGAGAGAGAG